ACGGCACATAACAACAGCAACAACATACAATCTGAAACCTCTCATTTTTATCCAGATGTTACTTGTAAATTTTTTTTCCTCTTCATACTACAGTGATCCTCTCCTCTGAGGCAGACATCCTTTCTCTGATTTACACAGTAGGGAAGAGTTCTCTTCCCTCTTTTAAGAAATGGTCAAACCTGGCTCCTCTGCTTCCCAGAATGAGGAGTGAGCATGGATGAAAAGTGACAGCTGACATAAGAATCTACGGTGCATACTGGCTCCCTAGTTTGGGATGGGTGATCTCATACAAGGGAGCCCTCATTGCACAGTGGTTAAAATGCTCTGTTGCTAAGCCAAAGGTTAGAAGTTCAAACCAACCAGCTTTCTCCACAGAAGAAAGATAAGGCCATTAAAACCAAAACAAAACTACACTGCCACGGAGCTGATTCTGACCCATGGTCCACTGGGCTTCTGAGATGGATCTGAACTTCTCCCTGTCTTTTGGTTCACTAAGCCACCAGGCTCCTCACTCCATGAAGATTGGTGTCCTGTAAACCCTGTGGGATAAGGCCCTGTTCTTCTCTAGGGTGCAATGAGTCACAATCAGTGGAGGGCACCTTTATAGATGAAGTGGAAGTGGAGATGGAGGGAGGGAGGGAAGAGGGACAGAGGACAGAAGCTCTGAACTTAAGAAACCAAGGGGCATTTCTCAGAAAGTAAGAAATCAACCAGTGTCTTGTTTCTCACATGCTGCTTCTGCTCCAGAAATAAGCAGCTGTTTTATTGTTCAAAATCTAATGTGTAGTATGCGTTATCCTATATATGGCAGCACAGATAAATATATTTATCATTTTTTTATCATATTTGTAACTAAATCCACTATGATACTTTTAAAAGCATGGTCTTCTGTTAGTCTATCAATTTGCCCAGTCCAAGGCGAAGCAGGCCAGAGGAGCCCCATCTGCAGAGAGCACACTGGATGAGAAATCAGCACATCATATTTAGAATCTTCTTCCTGCCTACCTTGACCACTATGTCTGTTTGCTGTCTTTGCACAGCTTAGGTAACCACCAAAATAGGCAATCTTCTCCTGTGTAATTTATAGCCTCTGAAATCCACAGGAGGGTCAGCTATGAATTGGTTTAGACTCGACAGCAATGAGAAATAAGAAAAGTACCCAGTGAGACACCAACTGTCCCCCCTTCACCAATTCCTGAAAAACAATTCTAATCCAGCAAGTTTTTTGTAAGTTTGTAAATTTATTGGAGATTTAGGGTATTTATAGGGCATATTGTATCCATACACACATCCTATGATCTTTCTAATCTCGTTCATTTCTCCTTTTTTTTCTCTTTCCTCAATCTCTTCTTCCTTGTTCAAATTCATTGTATTCCCTGTATCAGTAAAGATGGGCTAACTGGGCTGCATTAAACACAACCCTAGACCAAAGTTTCCATAGGTATGAGCCCTTCTATCCATAGGGTTAAGTTTTACATATGAATCTTTTTCAGTATCTGCCAGTTAATTAATCTTTTTCAGTATCTGCCAAGGGAAAGCACAGAGTTCCTTAAAAGAGTAGTTAACTTTGGTAGAAATCTGACCTTTGGGAGGGAGAGACAAGTTCCAGTTCTGGCAAGTGCAAGTCATCAGAGTGCACCCCTCTGTACACCAATGAGATGCTCCATAGGTTCCACTAAAACTTCCTGACTAGTGGGTGGCTGGACAGAGCAGAGGTGAGGCCTGGTGAATGACTTCTGAAGATGAATTGCAGTGGCCCTACCCTGCCGAACATGCATGGAAGCTGACCTGGTAAGTGTTAACAAGAGTTGGGAGCTGACTTGGTAACAACAATGTTTCTAAATTAGGTTGCTTTCCAATTGTGGATTCTGGTCTCACTCACAGACATTTTGATTCCGTAAATCTTAAGAGTCCACAACTAAAATTTTAAGAAGCTTTCCAGGTCATACTGAAAATCACTCAGGTTTGTGCACTATTCCTCCAGTTCTGGGGTCAGCAAATTACCACCTTCAGGGGAGACTTGGCCAGCTGCTTATTTTTATTAATAAAGATTTATTGGGACACACAGTCATGCTCATTAGCTTACATATCATCTGTAACTGCTTTATGCAACAGTGGTAAAATGGAATAGTTTCAATGGAGATCATATATATGCCTGCAGAGAAGAAGGAACTTACTTTCTAATCATTTACAGACAAGGTTTGCAAGCTCTGTCCTCTCCTTGTCTCAGCATGGCATCTTACCTGTGATGGAAATGAACGAGTGGAGATTATCTCTGTGCTCAAACAGCCCTTGGCCTGAACTTTCCACATTCCTCATCATATGAGAAAGAGGATGTATTGGCCATTCTTTGTTTTTACACAAATTACCAGTCAAATCAGGGAATTCTGGTGGCCTGCTCATAAGGAGTTGTGCTGTGATCCCACAAGTCCACAGGTCGAGTTCACCAGCTGCTTCACCAGAGAAAGATGAGCAAGCTCCTCCCTGGCAATTTACAGCTTCTGGAAACCCACCATATGTTCAGCTACGGGTCGATCCAAAGCAAAGGTGCACAGCAGCCGTCAGGCAGATGTATTTTTTCCTTGAGTTGTCCTGGCCTCTAGTGGTGTAAACGTTAACTCATATGCCTAATCAGATTAGGTTCTTTAAATTCCAGTCATACTTATAAGCCTCGAGGCAAGAGGCTTTAGAAAACTAGAGAACTAAACCAGACTAAACCTGGGAGAAGGATGGCGGGTTTAATGCATATTAGAATACCGTCCTTCTCTCACGAGTCTTCCTCTTCAAAGACTCTTAGTGGTTGTAGCAATTCCAATTAAAAAAGTCTGTTATGCCAAGGCCTGTTATGGTGGTCTTTCTTAGGGGCTGTATAACCACTAGCAATGTCATGTCTGTCTCTGAGATTGAAGCACAGAACCGTAGCCAAGGTCAGCCTCATACATGCGTACGCTCACCTGTGACAGGAGAGAGAGGGCTGAATGAGGACGATGGAGGATGCGTCTCAGCGCTGCAAAGAGGAGAATTTCCTCAGGGAGCCGCATGCATGCTGGTGAGATAGGCAGAGGATTACAGCACCGGTTATCAAGCTCCTCGAAAAAGCTCTCATGAGTGTGGGGAAAGACAACTCACTACTTGGAGGCAGGTAGTAAAGAGAGGGTGTCTCCCAGCCGGAAAGCCTGCATTCTCAGCGGGCTTGGGGCTGAGAACGTGGATTCCCTGCGGCAGTGCAGTGGCCCCCCTTAGGCCTAAAGGACTGCATCTCCCAGCAACTCCAAGTGCAGACTGCACACAGGCACGAGCCCACGCCCACGTGCCACTGTCCTTTCCTCCTCCCCCAACTCACTGCGCTCACCCCGCCCACTCGCGTTCGCCCCTCCCACCAGCATGTGCCACGCCCACTCGCGTTCGCCCCGCCCACCAGCATGTACCACGCCCACTCGCGTTCGCCCCGCCCACCAGCATGTGCCCGCTCGTTGGCACTCGCCTCACCCACTCACTCACCCGCTCACCAGCACCCTCCTACCCCCCTAACCCTTCAACCTCCACCACACGCATTTACCTCAGCCCTCGGCCCACAGCCCACCCGGGCTCGCTCCACCCACTTACATACCAGGTTTCCATGCCCAGTTGCCCTGTTCCTTTCGTTTATCCTCACTCAACTGACTGAACCCTTCCTTCGGCCTCCTCCACATTCCAGGACCTGCTCTGTCGCCAGCTCACTTCCCCCCTTCAAATGACCACGACCCACCCTTACCAGCCGCTCTCCTCAAGCGCCAAGAGCACGGGCTCACTGTGGCCACGCCCCTTCCACTGTGGCCCTCGTCCCTCGTGGTGGCTCCGCCCCTCTCCTAGCTGTGGCTCCACCCCCTGTTCGGGCCCTCCCTACGGCACCGCCCCACTCCTCGCGGTGACTCCGCCCCTTACTGTGGCTCCACCCCCTGTTCGGGCCCTCCCTACGGCACCGCCCCACTCCTCGCGGTGACTCCGCCCCTCGCCGTGGCTCCACCCCCTTCCCAGGCCCTCCCTGTGGCACCGCCCCGCTCCTCGTTGTAGGACCGCCCCCTCCGTGTCCACGGCAGTCACATCCTTGCGCGCAATGGGCACCGCGTCCTCACTCGTGAGCCCGGCCGGCGGGGAGGTGATCGAGGACACGTACGGGGCGGGCGGCGGCGAGGCCTGCGAGATCCCGGTGGAGGTGAAGCCCAAGGCCCGCTTGTTGCGCAGCTCGTTCCGCCGGGGCGCGGGGGCGGCCGGGCCCGGGTCGCTGCCCCGAGGCGCGGGCGGCGGGCTGCTGGGCGCCAGCTTTAAGTCCACGGGCTCGGCGGTGCCCGAGCTGGAGTACGCGGCGGCCGAGTACGAGCGCCTCAAGAAGGAGTACGACATCTTCCGGGTCAGCAAGAACCAGGAGCTGTTGTCCATGGGCCGCCGCGAGGCCAAGCTGGACACCGAAAACAAGCGGCTGCGGGCCGAGCTGCAGGTACGTTGAGACGGCTGGCCGGGCCCGGCCTCGCTCTCCCGGCGGCCCTGTGGTCTCGGCGGGGCCCACGGTGCTTCTGGGTCAGCCTCCTCCTGGGCTGTGCGCCCGCCCACCCCGTCTCTTCTGGGGTTTTGCCTTGGACTCTTCAGCGCTGTGCGCCCCGAGGGTCTCCCCGGGGACATGTGGGGGGTTCCTCTCGGAGCTGTGCATCCCAGGGCCTCCGTGCGCCTTGAGAGTCCTCTCTGGCACGCTCACACCTCGGGTCCCCTCTCCTCGGAGCTGTGCGCCCCGAGAGACTCCCCAGGTGCACACGTGGTTTAGGGTCCCTCTCCCGGGAGTTGTGTGCCCCAGGACTTCTGTGTGTCCCAATAGTCCCCCCACCCCAGCGATGCACACATTTCAGGGCCCCTCTCCTCAAAGCTATGAGCCGCAGAGTCTGTGTGCCCCCACGGTCCCTCCCAAGCGCACACACGGCTCAGGGCCCCTCTCCTCAAAGCTGTGAGCCCTAATTTCTGTGTGCCCTGAAAGCCTCCCCCGCCCCTGCATGGCTCAGGGTCTCTTTTCTCAAAACTGTGAGCCCCAGAGTATTCATGCGCTCCAGAGTCCCCCCAGGCATGCACATGCCTGGGGCTCTTCGGGAAGCTGTGAGCCCCAGAAGGTCCCTCTCCTCAGAACTGTCAATCCAGGGTCTCCTTGAACCCCCAGGATTCCACGACATACACACACCCCCACCCGCCCCAGGCATGCACACGGCTGGGGATCGCTCTGTGTAGGCAGCCCTGCACACCCTTCCTGGAATGTCACCCACCTTGCCTCCAGGTCGGGGACCAGATTCTTCTAAAAGCTTCTGGAGCCTGCTGGTCTTCACCACAACTACTGACCTTGGGAGTCTCCCTGTTTAATCCATTAGATTCCTGTGCACAAAAGGCAGTTCTTTCCTGTGTTGTTTAAAATCAAGGTTACTTTTCTGTCACTGAGGTTCCTGGTCCTGGTCCTCCATCAGTTCTGGGCTTGTCCAGGTGGTTGTGGAGTTCTGGGTTCCCTGCACTGGGAATTGAATTAATCCTGTGCCTGATTTTTCTAAAAGAAAATTCTTCTTCCCTCTACAGTTGGTATTCTTCAAATCACAGAGTCTTTTATTTTTACTCATCATTGTTGTTAGGAGCTGTCAAAGCAACTGTGACTCACAACGACCCTAAAAACCACAGATCTTAAACTTGGCCTGTCTTGTGCCATCCTCTTCATCTTAGACATATTTTATTCAGCCTACTGTTACAGAGACTAGGACAGTGACTAGGGATGATAGAAGAATTGATGCCTTTGTGTGTGATGCTGGAGAAGAGTATAGAATATACCATGGACGGCTAGGACAACAAACAGGTTCACCCTGGAGAGGGTGAAACCAGGCTGCTCCCTGGAGGCAAGGATTCTGAAGCTTTGTCTGCCATGCTTTGGACATGTTGCAAGGAGGGACCAGTCCTTGGGGAGGGACATCATGCTTGGGAGGGTGGAGGGACAGCGCAGGAGAAGACCCTCAATGAGGTGGATTGATTCAATGATTGGGGTAATGGGAGTAGGTATGTCAGAGACAGTGAGATTGGCACAAGATAGAGCAGGGTATAGGGATGCTGTACATAGGGTCACTGTGAGTCACAAGCAACTCAACGGCACATAACAACAACTGTTATATTTACTGTATCAGTCCATCTTGTACAGGATCTTCCTCTCTTCGGCTGACCCTCTATCTCTCCAAGAATAATGTCCTGTTCTAAGGACTGGTTCTTCCTGACAACAAGCCTAAAATGTGTGCGATGAAGCTTTATCATCCTTTGTACTTTCTCCAAGGCAGACCTGATTGTTCTTTTGCCCGTCCATGGACTATTTATTCCCCAGCACCGCAATTCAAAGACATCGTTTCTTCTTCTGTCATCCTTAGTCATTGTCCAACTTTCAGATGCACAGCAGGTGATTGAGAAGACTGCCTTAGATCAGAAACACCTTAGTCTTTAAACTGACATCATTGCTCATAAGCACTTTGGAGACATCCTTCCTTTACAGCATAATTTCCCAGTGCAAAACGTCTTTTGCTTTCTTTAGTGCTGATACCAAGATTGTTATATCATTAGCCCTTTTACCTAGGAAGATACCCAAAGTATGTGAGATGAATTTTCACCATCTTTGCCTCTAAGGAGCAACCTTATTGAACTTCCTCCAAGACAGACTTGTTTGTTCTTTTGAGAGACCATGGGATATTCAGTACTCTTCTCCAACACGACAATTCAAAGGCATTGATTCTTCTGTCATCTTTATTTATTGTGCAGCTTTCAGATACATAGGAAGCAATTGGAAAAGCTGTGATTTGAATCAGATCCACTTAATCTTTAGACAGTCTTACTCTTTAGCACTTTGAAGGGAAAAGTCCATTATAAAATATTTCCCAATGCAAATTTGAGCATGTTGTCGGGAGGGACTATTCCTTGGGAAAAGACATCATACTGGGAAAAGGTGAGGGTCAGAGAGAGAGGGGAACCCTCAACAAGCTGGATTGACATAGTGACTGCTCAAGTGCATCAGAAATGGTGTGGAGAGTGCAGGAAGGGGCAAGGTTCAGATCTGTTGTTCACAGGGTCACTAGAAAACATTTCTCAGCAGTCCCTCTGTTCTGTGAAATTTTCTCTTGGGTAGACTTGGTACATTTGCCTGTATGCTTTTCAGCTGTCTCATGTGTGCAAAGCACTGCCGTAACCAAGGGACCAGCCACGTCCCTTCTCATGGACCATTGGAGCTAACTCTAAGATGGCAAGTGGGAAAAGAGGCTGGACTGAGCAGGGCCATGAGAGTTGACAAATGTCACAGCCCTGATGATGCCTGTTTTCAGTCCTTATCTTGAACGTAGATCAGCTGGTTTCTTTCTCACATACCAACTCCCCCTCCCCCTAAAAGTCAGGCTCACTCAAGTCCACTCTGACCCCAGTAGCTCTCCACTAAGTCTCCAAGGCGGTCAGTCTTCTTGGGAGCAGGCAAAATCTTAGACTTCTTAATTCTGTTAGTCAAACATTTCCCTGAAGGCCTGCATTGAATGAGATGTGGAAGTCTTCCAGGGATAACATGACGGTTAAGATGTAGAACCAAGGAACAAACAGGTAGATTTGCAGAAGTCATCGTTCCTTACATGAAGCCTTGCAAATTGTCAGTTTTGTTCTTTTAGAGATGGAGAAAGCATTTTATTGAAAATTTAATGTGGAAATGTCTTCATTGTTGTGCTCTTCAAATATGTTTCCTTTCCAACCCCCCCCCCCCATCTTGTTTGAAGAAAATGGCAAAATGCAGTTCTTGCTAATTGGTGAAATTGGTGAAAGTTCTAAGGTTAGGGTTAGGGTTAAATTCGTACTATACATGTGAGATGAAGTGAACTTTGGGAGGGAGATTGCTTTTGTTAGGAAAATAACATGACAGATTGTTCCAGGCACTTCAGAAAACATATCAGAAGATACTTCGGGAGAAGGAAAGTGCTTTAGAAGCCAAATACCAGGCAATGGAGAGAGCTGCTACGTTTGAGCGTGATCGAGATAAAGTTAAAAGACAATTCAAGGTAAGGCCTTTTCCACCCCAAAGTGACAGGAATAAGAACGCATTCGTGGAAGTTCAGCTAACTGTGAAGAATCACACGTTAGAGGTGTTCTCCTGTTGCTATCAGGGAATCAGGAGTTCTGGGAGCTCATATATCACAGACGGAACTTCCTGTCCAGGGTTTTCTTGGCTGTGATTTTGACAGAAGCAGATCGCCAAGCCTCTCTCATGGGAGGGCGAGCTTTAGGCTAATTGGTGGTGGTGGTGTGTGCTGTCAAGTCACAGCCAACCCACAGCTGACCCTCAGTGGGTTTTCAGGCACTAAATCTCATGGAAGGAGACTGCCTGTCCTTCTCTCTCAGAGCACCTGGGGAATTCCAGCTGCCTACCTTTGGGTTGGCAAGCACAGCTCTTTACCCACTAGGCCACCAAACCTCCCTGGGAACAAGTACAAACTGCTTGCACCTCTGAGAGAAACTGCCAAGAATAAATAAAAACAGATCACTTAGGCCTTTTGGGATCCTGAGAAAGAGTATGTTTTGCTTTTTTTTCTTTTCTTTGTTGTTGTTGTTATGTGCCATCAAGTTGCTTGTGACTCATAGAGACCCTGTGTACAATAGCTTTGAAACCTGCTCTATATTGTGCCAACTTGACTGTCTCTGACGCACCTACCCTCATTAACCTAGTCACTAAATCAATCCACTCATCAATAGTCTCCCTCTCTTTCTCTGTCCCTCCACCCTTCCAAGCATGATGTCCCTCTCCAAGGACTGGTCCCTCTTTGCAACATGCCCAAAGTATGTCAGAC